ATGTAAGACTTGGACAGCCGAATATATTGGATTGCAATCTGCAATGCACAATTTATATATGCTATAAAGCTAATAATCATGGCATAAAGTTCTGTCGATGTCCCAAGTGCAAATGCAATTTTTTAGGTGGTTTGACGAACGAAATGGTTTATCGGAAGATATGAATTATTTTTCAAGTGCAAATGCAGCTGAAGTCCGTTCCAATTTAGATAAAAACTATTTATATAATGGTAGAATTGATTTTGTGACCCATTAATTGAGTCTCTAGTTTAAATCAGTAGTTGTGCAGGGTTTGAACCCTCTAGTATTCAACAATTAAAAATATTTTCCTTATAACTTCTAAAATTGTAGTGGGCCTGTAAAAAAATTGTAAGGGGTCAACGAGGTCTCGTGAAAACTATAGTGAGTTTTATGGGTCAATGGGCTCTGTGCCTCTAAGACCCCCATTGTAGATCTGCCCCTGCCCACAACTTAATAACCAAATTTAAAAAATATTTTAATCATCTAAAGCAATTCCTAGATCTAAGATTTTTTTTAATCATGTCTGATACAACATTAAAAAAACGTCTTGATCAGGTATGAATCTCGGGGCACATTGGATTTGGAGGCTTTCAAAATTAGACTCAGAACGATCTAAGCTCCAATTTGAGTGAACTAATGGTTAAACGGAGGGATAAACAACATAAAAAATGGTTCCATCCAAGCCTGAATGAGCCCAAATTAAGAGCTTGAAATGTAATTCAAAAGTTTAAGACATTAAATAGATGAACAAATGCTCCCCAAATATGATATTCTTATATCCAAATAAAGCTGCTCGATGATACAAACCTAACGATCCCAAGATTGCTTAATTTTGACATTATTAAGAACCTTAAATGTTGAAAGAATGCTTTATGATCAAAGAAATCAATATGCGCCGTCATTTGAACATTTAGGATTTTCTCCATATTTATAAAGCATGTCACCACAAAAAAATCTATTAAAAAGCCCTCACTCCTTGCATAGAGGAGGGAAACAAGATATTTAACTATTTAAGAGGGATCTTATGTGAGATGACTATGGACTTCCGTATTGCATAGACTTATTGATCATTGACTGATATGGATTTGATTGACTGACATGCATATTGATAGCATCGCCGTGCTTTGATTTCAGTTGTAGGCTTTGGTGACCTGCTGGGCTTTGTAAGCTCATTATATGTGGTTAAAATTTTCAGGTCAGAGCAAGGCACCTGGAATGGAGTTCGATCAGAATGTCAGACGAATCCTTTCACTATTGATATCTGAGGCATCACATCTTAGGCTTGAGGAATCACGGAGCTCCACCACTAGTAAACTCTTGTTGCCCGACCGCCATCGCTGAACCTCTACTAGGTCGCAGCCATTAGACCCTGCTAGATTGTCTGGTCACCACCATTAAACCTCCGCCCGACCATCATTGTCGGACATTCACCGACCAGTCGCCACCGCCAAACCTCTATTCTAGCATTGTCGTACGACCTCCGTTCAATTGATGCCATCAAATTTTCACGATCGAATATCACCTTTAAACCTATGTTGCTTTACTGTCAAACCACAGCCGTTGAACCCACGTTCATTTAGTCTTAAAATGTACATACATATTTTAGCCAATTCTCCATACTCTTGTAATTTTTTCGTCTCTCTAAGTTATGAGATAGGCCAATTTTTATAACTTGCACATGCATAGTGGAATCATTTCGGCTAGGCAAGATTGTAAGTTTCCTCTTTTCTGATTTTTCATTAAAAAAAAATCTTGTGTTATCCAAATTCTCTCATTTATTTATTTTTGTATTGGACATTCCGTAAAAACAAAAATGTAAAACTCTTATCTCTCAGCCACCATAATTTTCTAGCCTGCTAAAAATTAAATTTAAATTGAAATATTACCATAAAAATCAAATAGAAATTAAATTATGAAAGAAAAAATAAAATAAAACCTAAAACTTTTATTTATATTTTATAACCTAAGACTAGATAAAATATCAAATGAAAATTTCTAAATCGAATCAGGCATCTTTTTGAGAGATCTTGATGTGTGATTATTCTAAAATATCTAATTTAATTTAAAGTTAAACTTTGTCAAAACTAAATATAAATTTAATCTAAAAAAAAAATATTTAATTTATTTTTTAATATAAAATAAAAATCTAATACCACACAACAAATAATGGTACAATGAATACTCTGTCGTGCTCTAAAAGGAACTTTTATTTGATCCGGTCACAAGACATGGCTCTACGTTCAGCCGCCAGTAGAATACAATGCTGAAAAAATCACATTAAGGGCTGGTTTGGGACGCCATCTCGACTGCTTTACGTTTTAAAACGTAACCATATAACTGTTTGGAATTGATACGTCATCCTAAAATTATCTTGATTGGGCACGAATCTCGAGGAAAAATCAAGTTGGAAACTTCAAAAATTAAATCCGGAAGCACATGAACTCCGATTTCAGCAAACTTACAGTCAAACTAAGCGTCTCGGAAGTACGAACCCAACGACACCAAGATCAACCCAATCCGAGCCCAAATGAGTCTGAATCAAGGGCTCAAAGCGCTGTTGGAAGATTCAAACCGCAATTTGGTAAAAATCTTGGTGTCACATAAATGCTAGACCCTCTCTCTTATCTGATTGCGTGCCAGATTTTCGTACAACGCTAAGACGATAAACTTTATATTTCTCTACCGTCGCGAATACTCCTGGGCGCAACAGGAATAATGCTTTTTAACGGGTGTCGTAAAATTTTCACGTCTAGAGCCTGCTTTTGGCGACCAAATAGAAGCCTCTATGTTTTTGCTGCGTTCCGCGGTTCCGATATGACAAATGGCGTAAATACCCTTCATCTCCTTGGACGATATCATGTTGAAATTTCCTACCTCCGCCTTCGCGCCTTCAGCCCTTCGTCGAGCTTTACTTTCGATCCTGCTATTTGATCATTGCTACATCCTCTGCCGGCCTTCTTTTTCCAGTAACCCCATCTTCTTCGTCGACGGAACATGTGTCCTATGCTATGGATTCGATCTTCCTGAGTTCTTCCGCCGTGATTCCTCCTTCCGATCTCCAGAATGCTGCCTCCGACCTAAACAAACGGCAAGTGTTGCCGCTGATAAGCCTTCTCTTGGCTGTTGATGAGAGAGAGGAGGTGGAGTACCGAGTGGAGCAGCATTTTTTTTTTTTTTTTTGTAAAGGTTTTATTTTCCTAACTCAAAGCAACTAGAATTATTATTCTATATGATAAAATTATCGATTTTAATTTAAAATTGTTGGTTTGTAGTTATATTTATTTTAAGAAATTTTTCATATAAATAGTTTTTTCATCTAATTATTTTTAATGGTATCAAAATAATTATTCTTATACTGTTGTAGCACACAACTCCACAATTAAAATTTTCAAATAAAATATACTGATTTAAAAAAAAATTATATCTTAAATAATTTTCTTTCATCTCAATATATGTAAGGGTATCAATGTAATATGTACTCGCACAGCTGCAGCACAGTGGTTTTACAGTTATACTATCCAAACAAAATATAATGATTTATGTACAGCAATTTCAGAAAGCAGCTTTATGTACAACAATTTCATAACCTGCTTTAGCGACATCTGCAACCGTCCCAAACGCACCCTAAACGTCAAAATACAAAGTAAATTGGAAAGGATAAGTAGTCCAAAGTGTCGAACTTAGAACGCCACCTAGTTGTCAAACTCGGATCATCCATTCGAGGAAGAATAAGCATCAGCAAGAAGACCCAAATACGAAAGCCACCCATGAACACACAGAAGAAGGAACCACCAAGATTATCAAAACAAGCCATAACCTTACAGAGGGGCGTGCAAGAAGTCTGACTCATCATAGTCCGAAAATAAAAGCCAACACCCACAGCCTTGCCAATAATCCACAAACCATCCAACAAAACCAATCCCTAAAAAGAAAAATCAATTCTTTTTCGATTTACGAAGTCTATGCTTACCACTCTTTTTAAAAAAGTCGGCATCAGCCATTTGAAGAATGCTTAAGTCAAAGTTATCCTGATTATCCAAATCTTTATCATTAACCGATCACCCTGCATCACCTCATCTTCTCTCGATTTAAAAGCCAGGCGAGCTAACAAAACATTATTAAAAATAACGGATATAGGCACATCAACAAGAGACACACCACCATTTCTAGGCACATGATCAACTCCTTCTGGAAAAGAAGCATTAAAACGAGCAAGAGTATCCAAAGCATCAACAATTTCACCACTATCAACATGCATATTCCCAACCACAGGTGGAGCACAATCTCAGTCACCAAGGTCTAAAGGGACAAAATCATCAAAAATCACAGCTTCACCTCACCAACATCAACATTAGAATCAGGAGAGACTGATAGGACTATCCACTAAATTGACGAAGCAATGATTAGAAATATAAGCCTCAATTGCACCCTCATTAACTTCACAATAAGAAGCTATCGGCAAAGCCCCACACAACGGACAATCAATTCCATTAAAAATTGCCTATCAAGTTAAATTTGTTTAGTTCTTGAGCTCAGGCTCATTCACTTAGTTTATAGGCACAAGCTCACTCGATTGCTTGAGCTCATTTGAAAAGCTCGAGTTTGACTCAATTGTTGAACTCGATGTAAATTTAAATTAAAATTTTCAAATATTTTTTTATAATTTTACTTTTAATACAGATCTAATTTAAAATTGTTAAAACACGTTATATAATATTAATTTAAATTTCTTTTTCAAATATATTTTAAATTAATCGAGAGACTCAACGAGCTTTTGAGCCGAGCCAAGCTGAGTTCGAACTCATTTAGCATACAAGCTCGAGTATATGCTCAAACTTTAACTCGTAGCTCGATAAAATTGACTCGTGAACTCTTAAATGAGTCAAGCTGGAACCTGCTCCCAATCAGATTGTTGTTGTATGATTGTTTTTCTAACAAATCAACGCCACAGCAGCAAAGCAGGCTGTGAACTACTAAATTCAAACAAGAGGAGCGCTACGAAGCAGCACAGTCTCCACAGTAATTCCCGGGCCAAGCCCCAACAGCACGCCCCACTCAAACCCTTCTCCGGTGCTCATCTTCCCTTCTTTCACAGATCTCTTGCGCACCTCATCAAGAATAAAATGCACAGAAACTCCGGCCATGTTCCCGTATTCCGCCAACACATGCCTCGACGCCATTAATTTCTCCGGCCTCAGCCTCAGCCTCTCCTCCAACTGATCAAGAATTGCCCGCCCGCCCGGATGCGCCACCCAAAAAATGGAGTTCCAATCAAAAACATCAAGTGGGTTGAAATTGAGCGCCTCCTGTAGACATTTTTCAATGCTCTGCGATACAAGAATCGGCAAATCCTTGTGGATGGTAGCTATTACTCCTCTCTCCACCAATCCTGATCTTATAGCCCCCTCTGAATTCGGCAGCAAAACCTGCGTTGCGGAAATGATTGAGAATATCGGTTTCTCATTTCCCGACTCTTCAGGATCGGCTCCCACAATCAGAGCCGAAGCCCCATCAGCAAAAAGAGCTTGGATAATCAAATCATCCTGGCGTTTTACCGACGGCGGGCGAACAACCACCACTGTTGTCTCGGCGCACACGATCAGAACGCGAGCGCCTTTGTGGTTCTCGGCGAGATCTTTGGCGATGCGGAGGACTGTGCCGCCGGCGAAGCATCCTTGCTGATGAAGCATGACGCGCTTGACGGAGGGGTTTAAGCCGAGGAGTCGTATGAGAATAACGTCGGCACTGGGTAAGTTCGCGCCGCTCGTCGTGCAGAAGATGAGATGCGTTATGCGAGACTTTGCCATCCCCCACTCATCGATGGCGCGCACGGCTGCTTCCATGCCCAATTTGGGAACCTCAACCGCTGCTATCTTCTGCCTCACGGCCAAGGACGGAGCCATGGCTGTGCGGAGGCACTGGTTCTTTTGAAGAAGCTCTTCGTCCCAAACGAAATGGCGCTTCCTGATAGCTGTTTTCTCACCTGCACGTTAAAAATGGACAATTTTTTTAAAAACTTTTACCAGAGAACGAATCAAGAACAGCTCTATCCGTCCTCCAATTCCACCATGGGCTATGTTCGAGTGCTTACAGATTCGCTGGAATTTGTTTTTGAGATCGACGAGATGATTGGAATTAGTGACGCGGAAGTAGAAGTCAGGGAAGATGCTCTGTTCCACTGCATTGGGAGGGTTGGCCGTGCCTATGGCCAAGATGTTGGCGAACCCATTGGATCTTGTTACTTTTCTAACAGCTTTCATGGCCGCCGTGGGAAGGGAGAGCCGTCGAGCCGAAGCCTAGCAGCTGGAGCTCTCAACTCAACGAGACTCTGCAGGAAGATGACGGCTTAAGTGCTAGATGTAGAGGGGAACAAGGTGGCTAATCAGCAACAATAGAAAGCTAAAAAAAATGCAGTTGGCACGTCGTCATTGGGAGTTGACTTTGTGAAGTGCGGAAAATTTTTTAATTAAAATTTATTTATTTTCCCATCAAATTTAACGTCTCCAACAAATGAATTCAATAACAATGAAAATAATCAAAGCCTAAACTTGATATATCATCAAAAAAATTATCTTAATCGGGCATGAATCTCGAGGCAAAATAGAGCCGGAAATTTCAAAAATTAAATCCGGGATCACCTGAACTCCAATTTCAGCAAACTTATAGTCAAACTAAGTGTCTTGAAAATACGAACTCAATGACACAAAATTGACTCAATCAGAGCCCAAATGAGTCCAAATCAAGCACCCAAAGCATTGTTGGAAAGTTCAAACCATAATTTGAGTCACCAAACGATTTCCAAATATGACGTTCTTATAGTTGAATCGAGCGGCTCGACGAGACGAATCCAACGAGCCCAAGATTGCCAAATTCCGACATCATTAAGACCTTCAAATGTCTAACAAACGATGCACGATCAAGGGATTCAATATCGGCCGTCCATCCGACCACTCCCTATTTACCCTTAATCTCTAACCTATTTATAAGTCATGCCACTCCAGAATATCTATAAATATATCTCTCATTTCTCATGAGAGGGAACCCAATCAACAAGAAGAGAAGAAGAAGAGAATGATAGGAGGGAAGAATTCCTCCTCGACCACCGTCAGAGTTCTGCCCAACGCCAGAATTCTGCCGGACTTCCGAACGAAGCCGGAGTTCTGCCCGATGCCGGAATTTTGCTGGACTTCTGAACGAAGCCAGAGTTTTGCCCGACGCCGGAATTCTGCCTTACTTCCGAACGACGTCGGAGTTCTGTCCGACGCTAAAGCTTTTCCCGACGTCGGAATTCTGCCCAACTTCTGAACGACGCCTTAATTCTGTCTGACCTCTGAAGGATGCCAAAATTCCGCCCGATCTTCAAGTGACGCCGGAACTCTGCTCAACGTTGCAACTGATTTTCAATTATGAAGAGATTCATTGTAATATGATCGTCCTAAATTTTAAAGACGAATCAGCCTCTTGTATTTCAAGTAAACACTAGTATAACACTTTCAACTAGGCGTGACCCCGTGGTTTTTCCCCTTTCAGGGTTTTCCACGTAAAAATTCTGGTGCTGCTATTTCTCTTCTGTTTGTGTGTTAGATATCCGTACAACGCTGAAACGGAAGTTTTTTAACTCTATCCTAAAATAAAACAAAATAAAATTTCAAAGACAATTCCATGCTAATGAGAGACAAATTTGTTATGTAAATTCTTCCAATGCACCATTTTGTCATAATGATATCCTTAGCGTTGTGTCAAGATCATATGGTATTAGAACTTACCTGACTTTTTTTCTTCTTGGCCATCCCTCACAGTAAGATTCCTCTAGCTTTACTGAACCTCCTCACTATCATATAATAAATCTTATTAGAATCTTTGAACCATGACATATATGAAATACAGAAGAAAATATACGTTAATATTGAATAGCCTGCACTAATATCCTGTAATTATTTGATGTTATTGTTAGTACATATAAATGATTAATAAGAGATCACTGTAACATATTGTTTAACCCATGATGCTCAATGAAGTTTGTTAAGGGTCCAAATTAAAAATACTAGGAGCGTCAATTCGGGTTAGCGGGTCGGGTTCGGATCGAACCCGGAACTGACCCGGCACTATTCGGGTCAACCCGAACCCGAGCCATTTTTAAAAACGGGTCCGGTTTTCGGACCCAAACCCGACCCGATAAGAATGACCCGAAGTTGACCTAAAATTGCTAATTTTCGAGTCAAAATCATGTCAATATTCGATTTTTCGGGTCAAAATCGGGTCTAAAACGGGTCAATCTCGGGTTTTCGGGTCAAATATGAGTTTTCGTGTCACTTTCGAGTCAATTTCGGGTTGCTAGGTCAACCCGAACCTGACCCGATTTTTAAAACGGGTTGATTTGTTCAACCCGAACCCGACCTGTTTCGGGTTCGAGTTGACCCGAACCCGGATTTTTCCGGGTGGGGTTCAGGTCGTGTCAAAAATTGACACCCATAAAAAATACACCAAATTAACTTTAATCTACTTCATCTCAAATCTAACAACAAAATCTGGGCGGGAAAATGAGGAATTATTATGTGCGGTCACCGGACGTCTTTCGGAGGCGAATCAAGACGCTCCACATCACACTTTTGTTGTGTTTTGAGTGATGTGGCGCATCTTGATTCGTCTCTAAATGATCCGATGATCGTACATAGTAATTTCTCCAGAAAAATAATGTCTTAATAGAAGTATTAGTATTGGATTAAGAAAATAGTGATTATCCATTAGCTAGTTCATTAACGTTGCCCGATTTTTGCCAAGTCAAAATAAAGTTCAATTTGAGTTGAATTTGACTTGTTAATCCGCTCATTTACTTATATCCAAACTAAAATAAGATACAATTTTCAATGTTTTAACAAATTCACATACCAAAAGTCAACTGTTTAATTAAGATATTTTAGTAATACTTGATATATCATCAAAAAATTATCTTGATCGGGCAGAATATCGAGGCAAAATCAAGCCGGAAATTTAAAAGATTAAATCTGGGATCATCTGAACTCCGATTTCAGCAAACTTATTGTCGAACTGAGCGTCTCGGAAATACGAACCCAACGACACCAAATTCAACTCAATCCGAGTCCAAATGGGTCTGAATCAAGGACCCAAAGAACTGTTAGAAAGTTTGAACCACAATTTGGGTTACCAAACGGTTTCCTAACATAACGTGCTTATAGCCGAATCGAGCGGCTTGATGAGACAAATCCAACGAGCCCAAGATCGCCAAATTCCGACATCATTAAGACCTTCAAATGTCTGACGGACGGTACACGAACAAGAGATTCAATATCAGCCGTCCATTGAACCACTCCCCATTTACCCTTGATCTCTCACATATTTACGGGTCATGCCATCCTCAGAAATCTATAAATAGATCCCTCATTTCTTATGAGAGGGGACCCAAGCAAGAAGAAAAAAGAGAAGAAGAGAAGAGAGGAAGGATAGGAGAGAAGAATCTCCTCCTCCACCGCCGTAATTCTGTCCGACTTCGACGGGATGCCAGAATTCTGCCCGACTTCCACGGGACGTCGGAATTCTACCCGACTTCCATGGGACATCAAAATTCTGCCCAAGCGATGCTGAAATTCTGCTTAAGTGATGTCGGAGTTCCATCCGACTTCCAAGTAACGCCGGAATTCCACCCGACCTCCAAGTGACGCCGGAATTCCGCCCAACCTTCAAGGGACGCCGGAATTCCGCTCGACGTCCAAGTGACGCCGGAATTCCGCCCGACCTCTAAGTGACACTGGAGTTTCACCCAAACTCCAAGTGGCGTTGGAGTTCTCCTCAGTCGCCAACTGACGTCGGACTTCTACCTTACACCGGACCTCTGCTCGTTGCCAAGTTTCTACCCGGCGCTGGACTTCTTCCCGTTGTCGGATTTTTGCCGGACATCTATCTGATGCTGCATTTATGTCCATTGTTGGTTTTCTACGATACACAGTCCTTCTGACCCCTGTCGCCAGACAACGGTCCTTCTAACCTATGTCGCCCACCGACTACGATCATTCTGACTTACGTCGTCCACCGACTACAGTCCTTCTGACATCTGTCACTCGACGACTACGATCCTCCTGACTTACATCGCCCACCGACTACAGTCCTTCCGACCTTCGTCGCCAGCCGACTATGGTCCTCCTGACTTACGTCGCTCACCGACTATAGTCCTTCTGACCTCCATCACCAGACAACGATCTTTATGACCCCCGTCTCCCGTCGACTACGGTTCTTCTAACCAAACGAACACGTCAACAGTGATTCTTTGTATTCCTACCATGTAATGTACTACGTATGTTGTACATCAAGCTAATGCCTTCTCCCAAGGAAGGGCCTCTTTTGTAATCAACTGCAATAATAGTGGATTCATTCAAACTGGACTAGGCCCCGTGATTTTTCTCCCTTTTCAGGGGTTTTTCACGTAAACATCTTGGTGTCTCATAAATGTTAAACCCTCTCTCTTATTTGATTACGTGCCGTATTTTCGTATAATGCTAAGACGCTAAATTTTATATTTCTCTATCGCCGCGAATATTCCATGACGCAACAGTTCTATTCCTTTGATTGTATAATATATGTTTTATTCATCCATAAGGTAGGTTTGGATGTGAGAAAGGATAAACATTTATGCTAAACAATATGAATTGTTTTTAGTCTCCACCATTAATCTGATTTTATTGTCCTTTTCTAGCAATACAGAGTGACACATGCTTTTGTCACAAATTTTTTATGGTTGACAAAGGAAGGATTTTGTCTTATTTGCCTCTAAAAATATCCAAGCTTATTGTTGAAATATTTCAAAATATTCTTGTTTTTTTTTTTTTTTTGCGTATATATATATATATAATCAAAAAAATTGTGTCTCAAAGCAAAATTAAGTTGTACACTTCAAAAATTAAATTCGGTATAATTTGAACTCCGATTTCGAAAAACTTATAGTCGAACTGAACATCTCAAAAAATTGAACCCAACGACATCAAATTCGGCTCCATCTGAACTAAAAAAAGCAAAAAGAATGCCAGTTGATACATTATCTGCGGGAATTGACTTTATGGGATGCGGAAAATTTTTTAATTAAAATTTAAAAATAATTCCATCAAATTTATAATCAAATTTAACATCTCCAACAAATGAATTTAATAACAATGAAAATAATCTAATATGAGCCCTTCTAAGCCTAAATTCAATACTTAAAATATAATTAAACATTTTGTGAAGGGTTCAAATTAAAAATACACCAAATTAGCTCTAATCAACTTCATCTCAAATCTAACTAGAAAAGTTGGGCAGGAAAATGAGGAATTATTACGTGCGGTCACTAGACGTCGTCCGGAGGCGAATCAGGACGCACCACTATGTACCGCTATGTATCTGATGACATAGTGCATCCTGATTCGTCTTCGAACTGCCCAGTGATCATACGTAATAATTTCTCATGGAAAATACAAGCTTTATCGAAGTTGTATTAGTGTTGGATTAAGAAAATGGTGATTATCCACCAGCTCTTGCCTTTTACCTAGTTCATTAACTTTGCCCCATTTTTGCCAGAGTCAAAATAAAGTTCAATTTGAGTTGAATTTGACTTGTTAATCCGCTCATTGACTTATATCCAAACTAAGATAAGATATAATTGTCAATGTTTTGACAAATTCACATCCCAAAAGTCAACTGTTTCATTGAGATATTTTAGTAATACTGTTCTTTTAATTGTATAATATATGTTTTATTGATGCAGTACATAGGTCTGAATGTAAGAAAGGATAAACATTTATGCAAAATAATATGAATTGTTTTTAGTCTCCACCATTAATCTGATTTTATTGTCCTTTTCTAGCATCACAGAGTGACACATTATTCTTTTGTCACAAATTTTTTGTCTTTATTTTGTAATATCTCAAAATATTCTTTATATATATATATAAGATAAAAAATAGCATTAATACTAAATTCTAATTCTTTAAAATAAAAATGTTCAATGTTAGCATCACTTGACGAAGGGTTACTACAACTTTAAGGCTGTCAGTAGGACCGTTCATAGATTATCCTTCGGAGTTTTTTATTATTATTATTATTATTTTTTTGGAATTAGGGGCGGCACCCAAACATACATACGAGACTCGAACCCAGAATCTCTTAGTTGGGAGTCAAACTCGCAACCAACAAACCAATGAGAGCTGCATCGTTCTGATAATTTTAAGGAGTAAAGAATAGAGCAACATAATTGAAAGTGTTAATTATGTCGATTAAATATTAATCAAAGTACAGCGAATTTCATGATAGAAAGAAGGCCCAGCTAATTAATTGGGCTTTCCTCTTGGTCCAATTAGGGTGACATTAAGAACTATCGGGTTGGGCCTCTACAAATTTATTGTAAGTGATGACATGGCATGGACAATGAGCTAAATATAGGATAAGGAAAAACAAATAATGTGTCACATAATATATTCTCTAATAGTTTTCATGTGGTTTCCATTAATCCTTATTCTTGACAGAAATTTCATAACAATTTGAATATTCTTTAAGGAACATAAATCAGGGTAAAGAAGAAAACAAAAATTAATTAGGGCCATTCATTAGTGGACACACTTAACCAAAAAGAATTGGACTTATCATTCATTTTGTGAAGATCCCCCACAAGAGGTGCAACTAAGAGGTGTCAATATTGGACCCGACCCGAAAATCCGACCCGAACCCGATCCGAAAATTTTGGGTTTGGGTTGACCTGAACCTGAAGCGGGTCGGTTTCTGGTTCGGAAAACCAGCCCGTTTGAAAAATAGGGTCAGGTTCGGGTTGACCCGGGAATGACCGGGAATGACCCCAGCCTGTCGCGTAGCGTAGCGTCCCGAGGCCAGCATCGCGTCACGTCTGGCGTCAGTTCCGCGTCCTGCTTCAGTTGCCGGCGTCAATTTAGCGTCTTGCAGTCGTGTGAGTCCCGCGTCAGTTCTGCGTCGCGCGTCCCACTGCCGTCGGCTTCCGTTGTGTCGCGCATCTCGCTCCCACTGTAGCCGGCTTCTACTATCGCGCGTCCTGCTGTCGTCGGCCCACTATTGCCACTGGGCAGTTCCGCGTTAGTTGTCGTGTCCGCGGGTCAGGTCGGGTTGACTCGAACCCGAAGCTGGTCAGGTTCAAGTTTAGAAAATCGACCCGTTTGCAAAAACGGGTCGGGTCGACCCGAACTCGAATAGTGCCAGGTCAATTTCGGGTTCGACCCGAATCCAACCTGTGACCCGAATTGACACATCTCACTGTGCAAGTGAATTAAGCCAACTCGAGCTCAGCTTGATAAATGGCTCATCAACCGAGCTCAATGAGCTAACAAATAAAATGTAAATTAAGTCTGATTAAAATATAATTTGTTCGTATATAAATTTACACCTTTGTGTTAAAAATATATATATGAACACATCAATTTTTTGTGCCAATTCTTGTTAGTTTTAAATTTCGAACTTCTGATTCATTATATATTAATATTAGAAAGGGAAGAACCGTTTGTTCACTATGTGTTCTTCCAACAAAGCCCCTCAATGATTTCATGGCTTTAAAACTCTAACTACCTATGATTCTATCATTTGTCCCATCCTTCATTGGAGCAATAACTGTTTGAATTGGTCAGAAAGCAATTTTGGTCTTTACTCTTCAACAAGTATTTTGAATATGTTGCTTAAGGCCAAATGGAAACATATGGTTTGTTTCAATATTCTTGATTTTTTCTTTGCTCTTAATATATGGTGCTTCACAATCTTGTGATCAACTACATCTATATTATCTCTCATAACAATTTAAGCAAGATTACGGCTTCGTTTGGGACGGCTTTCTTAGAGCTTCTTAAAGCAGCATTCTAGTTCAAAATTTTTAATTAAGGTTTCATTTGTGATAGATTTATTACAGCTTTTTAAAATAACTTTTTAGTACAAAATTTTAAATTTTGTATTATAAAGCAGCTTTAAAAAGAAAGCCGTCCCAAACGAAGCCTAAGTAAGAAAATGCAATGGTCTGCTAATGCATTTATTACTTGATGAGGGGTAATATGATTTGATATATTGTACTTATACTATAGATCATAGATTAAGGCCTGTTTAGGACAGTTTTTGATCTTTTTTTTTTATGCTTTTAAGGACTTCTTGTGCTAGAAAACTGATGTAGAAAATAGTAAGAAAACTGTCACAAATGAAGCATAAATGTATAAGACTTGGTAGAGTTTCATCAAAATTATTATTTAATTTTAATGTGTGTCAAAAGTTGTTTTAGATTGGTTGTGTGCCAAAAGAAAAACATTCTTTAGTAAAAGCTCATTGATGAACACATGAGATCGAAAAATGATAAATTGGACTTTAAAATTGGTCTTAAAAAGTCGCTTTTGGAAGTTTTTTTTTTTTTGATGAATTTTGTAGTGAAAGGACATGCATATTGCTTGTGTAATCTATGATAGATCATTGTACTTCGAATACTAATTTGTGATCAAATGGATGCTTAAAATATTGAGATCAATGTTGATGACTTAAAATCGAGTGATTGATTTTAGGACGGTAGCTTTGAGATCATCATTCATCATGATCTAAATTAAATGTTCATCTTCAGAATTTTGTTGAAGGAAAGTGCTTCATCAGCTTTTACATGTTTTTTTTTTAACTTTGGCTTCGTTTGAGACGGTTTTCTTACTGCTTCTTAAAGCAACTTTTTATCACAAAAATTAATTTTTTGTACTAGAAAGCTGCTTTAAGAAGTAATCAAAAAGCATTCTCAAACGAAGTCTTTGAGTACTTTTTAGTATAAAATATTCTAATTCAAAGAATTTTTGTACTCAAAAGCTATTTTAAAAAGCAATAAAAAAGCTGTTCCTAACAAATCCTTTGTCTTTAAAAACTATGTTTTGAAAAGTGCACATTAAAACTAATGTTATAAATAAGCTTTTAAAAACATAAA